GGAGATCTGCCATGGGAGAAGAGACGTCCTCAAGCATTACTCTTCTTCATATAGGAAACTAGCGACCCGCCCAGCTTCGTACGGGTGTAGATATTGAAATTCTTGAATTTTCTCCACTATAATATGCATAATGTTTGATTTTTTTTTTGTAGCAATGGCCCAGGCCCACCCTGGAAAATGGACCTAGATACGCCAATGATTCAGTGCTTAATAATAAAGCATTCAAATTATTTTTGTTTGTGAAAAATGTTTTGAAAGTGAAAGCATTCTGTCCCTGTTACGCTAAAGTTGTTAAATACCATCTTTTCCATCTCAATTTTAACGCGAATTTAAATGATCCATACCTCCATACCAATATTATAAATTCGAAGGCAACTCTGTCTGTCTGTCTCGCTTTCACGGCAAAACTAATGAACCGATTTAAATAAATTTTGTTACTCAGATAGTCTAGAGCCTGAGGAAGGACATAGGCTATTTTTTTAAATTGGAAAAAACTTTGAAATATGTGTATATTTTAAAGAAAGGTATTTATTTAAGGGCTTCAACGCGAGCGACGCCGCGGGCGAAAAGCTAGTTTCTAATAAAACTTATCTAGAATAAAAATTTAAACCTGTAATTTGTATCGTATTTCATTACTGTTTCCTGGCGCGACTTGAGTGCCTCAGTTTTGGTACGCTTGTGTCATATCAACCTCGTATTTGTATATAATATCATTGGCGTTTATGCATTATCTTCGAATGTCAATTAAACGAAGGCCATGGCTCTTCGAAACAGGCTCACAAACTTCTGACAAACCTGACATAACATAAAACGCACTAAAGTATCCACCGACGGTAGCGTCGTATAAAATACCAAATATGCCAATAAAGAAATGATTTGAGTATTGAATAGTAACGACATTGTAAACGGAAGGTGTAGGTACATTAATTTTTATCTATATCAAAGTGGCAGTGACCGATTTATTATCGATCCTATCTTTAGGGTGTTCGTAATACTTTCTATTAATTAGCTTTCGTGTGTTTGGCTGCGTTTTATGTAAGAAGAGGGCAAACGAGCTGGCGGTTCACCTGATGTTAACTGATAACCGTCGCCCATGGACATTTGCAACAGCCGTAGGGTTTTCAGTTTTGCCGCCTTTTAATAAACTGGGCTACCTCACTCATCGGGCGAAACGCAGAAGTATGACACTTCACTTCACGCCGGTCTTCTGTGAGGTCGTGGTACTTACCCGGACAGACCTGCCCATTGGTGCAACTGTGTCGCGGGGCCCTACCACAGTTGAAATATCGGTGGCAGTTTTCAAATCGATTTTACACTAATTTCCTTCTGAGGTTGACGCTTAACTTTACACGTAACTCTGTAGTTGATGCTAATACAATGTTATTTTAATATTTTGCCGTCTTTAAAGAATAATAAATCTTCGTATACAATAAAATCTGTATTGTGGCAATGTAAGTTTTAATTGTCTAATATATAGAGAATAGGATTTGACACTTTTATAGGAAACAGTAATACTTGAAGAAATAACTAAATGTTATAGTCGTCGAAAAAATCACCAAAAAGCATAAGCCAATTATACCCTGCCACATTAAGTATTGAAAAATTAACAATTAATGCATTAAATACCATAGGTAGCTTCAGCGGCGTCTGAAATAATCAAGTTAGAGTTATTATTTATATCGATTAATTATAAAAGGGTACACCGTTATTACCTGGACAGGTAAAAATTGGCTAGTACTAAGTAGTTTCATCCCGAAACGAAATCGTAACTAAAACAATTCCACGTCTTGTATTTTTTTTTTCATGCAAAATACGAAAGTCGATTGCGAACGCACGAGTAACGCGACCTCCTGTATAGTCTTGCTTTAGCTAAATTATTCAGATAGTGATCTGTCTCAGCGGCCATTAGATTGCTCAAATTACGTTAATGAGCGTATGCGTGGCGATACATCACGGCGGGTGGTAATTAGCGGCGTGTCGTTTGCACGATATCCCAGCGGAGGGCGCACCGGGTCTCGAGTTCGATTCCGAGCGTGGAATAGTTACCGTGGGCGAGGAAAACTTTCATATTCTCCAAAACATTAACATAGTGTATTGGTGTTGTAGGCATGTAGCTACTACTGTTTACTGTTCCTCGGCGCTACGGTTCGTGGGTTCGATTCCCGCAGAGGACAAAATATTACACCCCACAAAAAAAAAAGTGAATGGACAGTGACAGTTTTGATATATATAAACGTCGCTAGGATATTAATAAAAAATTATACATGCGATGTTCACATTCTATTTTGGAAATATGAAAGCAACGTCAGTCATCCTAGTAGAAACGTATCAGTCATGCAGGCAAACACAGTGTTGTCTTTTCCACACGAGACAAGTATTTGTTTGACGGATAATTGTCCCGGATATGGGTGCTAATTCCCAAGTAGGGTTGACGTCTGGCAGGCGGCATAGTTAAGGAGAAAGAAGTATTCCCCATTATATTACGCACCTTATCGTCCCGGAATGTTTGCGTTAACGAATCTATAGGTAACTAGCCGCTGCCCGCGACTACGTCCGCGTAGAATCGGGTGAAGGCGTAACATTCAGACAGAAAGACAGATATACATAACATATGTATATAAATTATAGCCTATGTACTATTCTGATATATAAGCTATATTATTGTAAAGTTTCATTAAAGTCCATTCTGTAGTATTTGCGTGAAAGAGTAACAAACATCCATCCATACATACAAACTTTCGCCTTTATAATATTAGTAAGGTTTAGTAAAGATATATCTTCATAGATTTCAAACGATTACATATACATATTTGTGGTCGTACAGTCGCCTCTAAAAACCGCCGGACTAAAGCTCAGACCCTCAGTTGGTCGACGTCGACTGCGCTTCAGGGAAACAGCGAAATGCGATCCATTAAAACCAGTTTGCGATTACGTCACGAATTCTTGGGAAAAGCCCAATTTCGGTTGAATTCCGCGTCGTGCCTTCAACTTTACATTGATATGGCGTTGCCAAATGGTGTCCAAAAATAGGCATATCTATGCTTTGTCATGCCGTCTAGCATTATCCGTCAAAATTCGCCTTTATTTAATGTTTGTTAATCGTTTATAATGCATAATAACCAAAGTGTACTTTCGAATTGTCAGTTCTGCAATATGATTAAAATAACATTAAATATATTAAAATTCCTGTTTAGTCGTCTCGTAAATTTTTCAAATTATCATCTGGAAACCCTACATGAAAGTAAAGTCATTAACAGTCTATATATGTCCCCCGGCTGGGCAAATGCCTCATTTTTACAGAGGGTATTAGGCCATAGTTTGCCATGGCGGACATCACTTATCTTCGAAATATTTTTTTTGTTATTATGACGAAAATATACAGGTTTCCTTACGATGTTTCCTTCGCCGCTGAAGACATGATAAGTCAGTCACTTAAAATCGTCATAAACTCAGGTTCCTCGAGTATATTGAATTAAAAGCGAGTACCCGGACAATGAGCTATCACTCTACGTAAAGCCACCGAACGCTCTATAGTAAAGGCTCTCATGTCAAGGTATTAAACCTTAATGCAGGAGAAATGGCTACTGTTATTCCCGTTTGCGCTAAGCGAGCTCCTAACCAAGATAGAATAACGGTTGCGAGGCATTTCAAGCGGGAAAAAAGAAAGTGACATTAAATAAAGAAAACACAAAGAGATACCTAACCTAAAAATTGAAACGGACAAACTAGCGCTTAAAGATGATAAAAAAGAAAGAAAATAATGATGAAAAAATTTGAAAAGTGGAAAACTGTAATTATAAATAACTTAAAAATAATAAATTATAAACCTTATCTAATATTATAAAATTATAATCTTTTATCTAATGAAAAAGACCATACTAAAAGAATTAAAAGAGTCATTATCATTCGTTTTTGTTCAGAACAGAGATTTTCTTGCACAATTATGCAAAAAATACATTCTTGTTTAGATTCTACAGAACTTGAAAATATGATAGTGCCGTGAATTTTAACCTTTCCCTTTCATACAATAGTTTAATATCGAAATTTCATTCAAAAACGAATTTATTTGCCTTATTACAGTTTTTACTACTGCTATTCTTATTGTTCATCATTATCATTATTATTTTTATGTTAATTGCTTACGTTGTAATTCCTTTTTAGGGTTGCGTATTTTTATATTTAACTCTTTACCTTCTTTGATTTTCGGGGGAAACTTAACTGGTGATACAAATTATTTTATCCACTCTTTTTTTTTTTGGGAAAAAAGGGGCAATGGAGCAGGAGGCTCACCTGATGCCAAGTGATCACTGCCGCTCATGGACATCTGCAACACCGGAGGGCTTACAAATGCGTTGTCGGCCTTTTAAGAAAGAGTAAAGTAGAATGCTTATTAGCATTAAATTTTACTTCTTATTTTCCTTTTTTTTTTAAACCATTGCCATTACTTTAGGATAATATTATCCGGGGTTGTTATGACGTTTTACAAACATAAATTTCAATGACAAACACCCAGTGGCGAAACAACTATCTGCGCCACGAAGTCACCCAAAAGTTTGCCTTTTGTTTGGCCTTATGTTGGGGTGTAAACAATGCATTTTTAAATAAATAAACATGCTCTGTTTTTGAAGGTTCCCAGAACCTATAAAAGTATAGACTATTTAATTTTAAAACTAGCGACGCTGAACAGAGAACTGTGTCGGACAGTGTTACACTCCTGCGTTTCATCTGGTGAGTGAGGTGACCGGAGCCCACTTTGATAATAGACGGTTACGCATCTGCAGACCTACGGGTGTTGCAAATGTCGACGATTACCACTTAACATCAGTTCAACCACTCGCTTGCCACATTCTCACATAAAAAAATTTGAAAGATTACTTCATCGCTGGTTACACACGGGCAAAGCTAAAAAATCGTGTTAGAACGCCTCAACACGACGGCTTTTATTAGCTATGCGTCACAACGGTACGGATCGTCCACAAATCGGCCATTAAAATGAGCTAATGGCCATTAATAAGCCCGGATCCGCCATCAATTACGGCGGAGGTGAGGTCGGTGGTGTCGTGTTCGTCGACCGATATGTCCCACGCGCCGTGTGATCTATTGAGGAGTTCTCTGCTGGAAATACCTGACCGGTGGTCACTTTGGAAGGCAGACACTAAACGGCGAATCCATCGGTAAAGGTTATGGACGGCGCAGAAAGTTGACGCATATGCAATCAACATTCGATCTTATCTTTTATGTACGTAATAGTCAAGTCAAAACTTCTTTATCCCGACCAAGGCTCCCGATTGACCTACTTAAGACAACTGGCGGTAATAAGACAATTTTAAACATTTCTTTAGCGTCCTTCTGACATAAAACATTTATATATAAGTTCTTCCTTTTATATATAAGTTCAGTTAAAAGTGTAAATGCTCATTATGACCCTTGGGGCACTGAGAGGTCCTTCGTCACTTTCTCCTGTTCTGCCAGTTTACAGTGTCTCCATCATCTAACTAACAGTCTTCATCATCATCTTACAACCGGACTAATCTGTATCTTCTTCTTTTTCTACTGTTATACCCACACTAGGTGGAATCGGCGCAGCATATCCTTTCCTTCCACTTTCCTCTATCAGCCGCCATCTCAATACTTACCCTTCATATATCCGCTTCGTATCTTCTTCTTATCTCTTATTTCTCCAAGCATTCCATCAAAAATCTCAGTTTTCCCCTAGCTTTACAGCTCCAACCACACCGATACCCAACACTCTTCCAGTCACACGACTTTCACCGCACTCGACGCAGCATAACCTTTCCCAACAGCCACCATCTCAATACGCATCCCTGAGTATATCCGTGCATATAATTCTTCACGCATACCATAGAAAATCTCAGTCTCGTTCCAATCTCACACCTCCAGCCACGAGAACATTCATCCAACCCTCTTCTAGGCGCATTCCTGGTGCGTTGAGGTGCGGTCCGAAATTTGCGCGGGATCGAACCCGTTATTAGTCGAGGCGTCGGCGCTGAGCGGCCAGGGCACGGGTCGCGGCCAATTATCGTGTTAAACAAACTGCGCGCCCAGCGCCGGCACACGCACCTACACGTCTGGCAATCGGAGTGTTGTAAGAGCTCGCCAAGGGTGGAGCGAGCTCCGCTGCGCAAAGGCGATTGGGTGAAGTGTCTCGATTCCCAACTATTTAAACCGACCTCAAAAAAGAAGGAGGTTTCTCAATTCGACCGTATGTATAGATATATTTTTTTTGCGTGTTCGCGGATAACTTCGTCGTTTATGAACCAATTTTGATGATTCTTTTTTTGTTTGATGATAGCATCCCAGTGAAATCGTGGGCTATCCTCAAATATTGTAGATATATGTTTTTCAATGTTTTTTATAATTTCCTGTTTGAAGTCAGTTTTTTTTTTGTTAATAATTATAAATGACTTCGTTTTAATTTGATCTAATATTTACAAGATTAAATCTATCTAAAATTACATATTATCTAATAAACCTAAACCACGCGGCATTGTGCCAAGAACGCTAGCTGCATTTCCTAGCTGAATAGTTATGCTTAACCTTTGAGCGAGAAAAGAACCAGATCTCTTGTCAACAGCCGCGGCGTTAAGCCTAAGCGTTTTAATTTTATATTCATTCTGCGGTATACTGGTACATTCTTTGTAGTTTTTGCATACTGAACCGTGATAGTTCAGTGTCCGCTGCTGCTGTTATGTAGCATCATGACATCACATACCGGTGCCGGCACCAGTAATTTTTAAGTGCGACATTCAGTGCTGATTTATCCGTGATACCACGAGTGACCACGTCTGGTCAGCGGTGAAGGAAAACACCGCGAAGAAACCTGCATTTTTTAATAATAATAATAAAATATCTATAATATATGTGAAGTTTGCAAATCCGAAATGGGGTCGCTTGGTGGGTGACCTCTGCCACAGCTGTGTGGGACATATAGAGGCCGTTTTTACCACAACTACAATCTTTTTTTTTAATTTCACTCACAGTATTAATTTTCAGGGTAGAATTAGAAACAACAATTATTATATTGGGTTAACAACTTATTGCACCGGATTGTCTTTAAACAAGGAATAGAGTAAAACAAAGCTGGTCGTATCAGTGCGAACAAGAAACATACCTTAACTATTTAAGTAATTATTTCATAAATTGTGCTCTTTCATAAACTTATAACGCATTGAACTAAAAGTCCGCCTCCACACTCCCGCGCCGGGACGCACCAACGGACGTTTATATTAAGTCGAGAATAAGTTATCTCGCTTATCATAATCTAACAAAAGATCACAATAGACTGTTACAGCATCATCAATATATTACCGGGGCTAGAGCGCCCACGCGTTTTTGGTGCTTGCTGCCACAGTTCGAGATTGGCACAACAGCTCCAGTTGTTGTACCGATGTTAGGACCGGCTAAATGAATCTAGAAATATGTCTAAGCCAAACTTTTCTTTTTACCCGCTGCAAATAAAAGATTCTCGATTCGTCGATATATATTTTTTCATGTACGAACGTATTCAGAGATAATTGTATGTTTATTTAGTAGTAATCGTCGAAAAAGAAGATAGTACGGATACCTCATAATTAGGTATTTCACATAAAATTGGCACGCTGCCATGGGATTGGGAAATAAAAAAACAACGAGAAATTCATTAAACTCCTGAATTTACCTAGGCTCCACGAAATATAGGCAGACAACAGTCACGTCAGCTGTTTTTGATGATTACTTTTGTATTGTTTCCGTGGAAAGAACCCAATTCAAGGGTGTCATATAAATTGTGCCAAGAACTTATGATGGAATCAACGAAAACAGACGAACTCTATAATTCTTGCACAGACAGTCGGGCAAATCTCTAGGTTAAGAGATGTTTGTTGTACGCATTGTGTGATGCCTGTTCTTCTGTTGTTGCTCGAATGTATAGGCTGATCCGAGGAAATCTTCGCAGAAGACCGGCGTGAAAGCTTTATACAATATTTTTTTTAATCTCAGAATTGATGTTAAGTGATAACCGCAACCCACGGACATTTGAAAGTGGGCCCCAGCTACCTCACTCACCAGACGACCCCCTGGGGGTGCGGGCTGCAGGGGGGGCGGTTCCTGGAACCGATGAGGCGATAGCGAGACGATCTCACCAAAGGCTTGGCGGGTCTCGAGCGCAGTCCATCAAGCGATGTCTCTGGGCGAGCCTTGTCTTGCGGAACGCGACCCGATTTTGGCTTTGCAATTACAAACGACACGTTTATAAAGCCAGTTGTCGGATTACATACATGACATAGATGACGATATTGTTATAACATCACTGATGCCTGCTTTTTTCCCACTTCGGGATGGTAAAATTCGGAATGGTGACAGCACAGGTGAATGTAGGACTGACGGAGGCAATACTCTATTCTACAGCAAAGCAATGTGTGTAAAAATAAGTAATTTTAAAAAATAAGTACTTTTCAACGGAGAAAGCATTCACAGTACCTAAAGAACGCTTTAAGTCTACAACGAGACTTAGTATTATTTCGAACCGTATATGTTTTGTGAGTTTTCTCAAATGAGCAGTTATGAGTACCTTCTCACAATATTTCAATTCACAGCCGAACAGGTCCGAAATGGAATAAAATATCTCCTTCCTTTTTCTCGCCTGCCATAGTGTTGTAAAACAATAAAAGAAAAAGGCAAAGATAAAACTAAGGAACAATAAGACTATAACACTACAATACCACTTCTAATGAATACCAAAACAATTATTTGGGAAAAATACATAGATATATATTTTTCCGAAAGTAGGGGAAGATTGGGAGGGAAGCTAGCTGGCGATAATTCACATCACAGTACAGTAGAAGTTGTTGCAGCCTGATCTCTAGAATACTTATTGAATAATATCACAACGCATTCAGAAGCATCTTATTTCGACTCAATGTACGCTTGGGACATGATTTAGCTGATGTAATGTGCCTTTAATTTTTCGAATGCCATACAGGACGTGTGCGTCCTGTGTTCGCATTTAACAAGCAAAGCCTCGATGCGATTGCGTTGTCGTTGTTGAGTTTATAATTACTTTCTCAAAGGACGGTTGAAGTCGGCTGGTCTGAAAAAACATAGCCAAAACCTCGGTGTGATAAGAGCAGGTGGATGATGATGAAATTCCTTTACGACAGCCAGTATTCGAACCAACTTTTCGTTATAACGCGTCCAGACGCTCTAGTCATTGAGTTAAAGCGGTCGACACCCACACACCCTGTAAGAAGAGTTCTTAGGCACCTATTTTATAACATTTGTAGCTATACGCATTTCGGAGCGGCGTCGGTGTTTCTCATTAGAAAATTTGCCAGCACGTGCACGACAGTACAAATGTTTCAACTAACCGCTAACGCTTGCAGGTTAGTTTGCAAATAATTTGCACCGCAAGTACTTATTTCTAGCATGGGTTTGCTGTGATTTCGCGGCAGTTAAAATCCCCTTTTACAGCGGGACCGTTACTAAAAGCTGTGATAGCTCAGTATGACGTCTCGCTCTCTATTTCATTATTTTACACTACTCTATTTCGATATCGAGCGGCCTGAGTTACCAACGCAATACCCAGTCAATATTAAGTGCTAAATGATCACGTACTCAGCGAAACCTGTACGTTTTCGAAATAACAACAAAAAAAATAAGTCGGGGTCGCCTGCGATTATGTCCAAGACCTTCTGTACAAAAGAGGCCATTGCCCAGCAGTAGGACGTGTATAGGCTGTTACTTGGCGGGAGCATTTTAAACGAACGGTGATAACCATGGCAGGTCCAAGCAACAGTGTTCACTGTTGCACGAATGGACAGGTCCGTCCGGGTAAGTACCACGACCTCACAGAAGACCGGCGTGAAGTGTTACACTTCTGTGTTTGGTCTCGCGAGTGAGGTAGCCGGGGCCCACTTCATTTAAAGGTATTAAGGCAACGCATTTACAACCCTATGGGTGTTGCGAAAGTCCGTCGGCGGCGGTCAGTCAACACCAGGTTAACGGCCAGCACGTTTGCCACTTTATCGCATAAGATCGAACCCTTAAGCAACGAAGGATCTATTCCCACAGATGAGGCCTGTTCCCAACGGTGGGAATGACCGTTACTTTACTTACAGCGGGACCGAGTAAGGATCGTGATTCGAACCCACAAGCCATCTCCGAACGCACCCTCTAATGGTCCCCTAACCGGCAACGGGTAACCCGACACCAGCGGGCCCAATAATATAAACAACGTTATTAAACGCCATAAATCTGGACGTCCGCCGCGTAAAAACGCCCATTCGTGCGGCGTCCCGCGGGACCGCCGTGGATAACTCAATCTTACACCTGCGGGACGCGGCCGGGCGATAAAGCACCCGTTATGCGATGGCGGATCCACTCTATGGTTCCGTATATAATATTGTTTTATGTGAAAAATTGCCAAGCGGTCCAAGAGAGCCGACGGTCCACCTGATGTTAAGTGAATACTGACCATGGACATCTGCTACACCCAGTTCCAGACGCGTTGACAACCTTCTGAAAATAATTTTTGTATTAACTGTTTTTACTTATTAATTGGATTTCGTGCATAATAATTTTTGTTTTAACTACTTATACTTATTAATTTTAAGTTTATAAAAAAAATAAAAAAAAATAATAATAAAAATAATTGTATCCGTTTACAATGCTCGGTGAACAGTTCATGTAATTTTTTGTGTTAACGATGAGGTGTGTTGTGTTCGAAACGTAAATGGAGAATGTTTTAACAAAAGTAATGACGGCTTATATTTCCCACTACAGCTAATAAAAGCCTCCTCTTTAATGGATATAGAGAGAAACACTGCGGATTTTTTTTCTTTTTTTCCTATTGCAATCTATCAACACTGCGGATTTGATGACTTTTTAATATAGCCGAAAGTTTTTTTTTTTTTTTTTATTCATAAATTCGAAGATATGCAGGATCACGATGTTTTCCTTCACCGCTGAGAACGTGATGAGTCGGCACTTAAAATTGTAATTAACTATTTCATTGGACGGCACCTCAATTTGAACTCCAGTATACAATATGATGATTATAAAGTAAAGGCGACGGGGCATTGAGCTATTACGGCTACTAAAAACTAAATATGTGGTATTTTATTGTTGCGATACCTGTATGGTAAAAGCGGTAATGGAAGGGGTTAATTGGGAAAAAGATTTAATAATAATAATAATAATAAAATATATTTAATTATTTATGATCTTCACAAAGGCATAAAAATAAAATTCATATGTAGCCTCTCTGATAGATTACCCTCCTCACATGGACTAGTTACTTTAATTACAACAACTCAAGAAATGATGAATCCGTGGCGCAGTTGCCATAGTAACGGCTTCGGCGTTGGGGGTCGAGGGTTCGATTCCCACACGGGACAGCTATTTGTGTGACCCAAAGATAGTCGTTTCGCATCTGGGTGTTTGTCCGCGTGAAATTTATGTTTGTAAAACAACTTTACAACACAGGATAATGTTAGTAAAGTAAGGGCAATGTTTTTGCAAAAAATAATGTTAATCGAAAAAAAATACACATTCAATACACGTTTGTTGTTGAAATTAAAGGACATAAAAAGTAACTTACAGTTACAAATATTCAAAACATCGAAATTTTTTTACAAATAGTGAAAAATATGTAGAGGCATAGCGGCAAAAATAATTAATATAATAAATGAAGCTTAAGTGTAGGTTTAATTCAAATGTTATCAACGAAAACAAGATTAATGTTACATTAAAGTGGGCTTAACATGTTAACAAAATAACTAAGTTGTTATTTTGTAATAACTTAGTTGGCTTAGGTAACGGTTTAGTTGATGATGGATTATAATTTTTACGTCTACGACGAGAGACGAAATACGAGACTCCTAAAAATATCGCCAATTTTTGCCGCCCTACGCCCGAATCTATTTAGCCTGTAGGGAAATCCACCCCTGTGATGTCAGTAGTGAACGGGCATGGAGGCGTGCCACTACAGATCCTACGTCACAAAAAAAACGCTGTTCTGTAGTTGCAGAAACGTTACCATCTTTAAATAAAGTGGGTCCCGGCTACCTCACTCACCAGACGAAACGCAGACGTGTTTTTCGTTTTACTTACCCGGACGGACCTGCCCATTCGTGCAACAGTGAAAACCATTACCACCATTAACCTACCTCTACCGCAGTACCAGACTTGTTCTCCGGGTACTATGCATAGCGTAATATAAGATAAAGCAATTCTAAAAATAAGTTTTATGCAAGTTTCTGCTCATAACATTGCAATTTCGGCACAGATAATGTTGTACAATGGGGCAGTAAACATTTATTGCCGTAATAAATTAGCCTCGAGTAAACACTTGGAGGTTTTAAACATAATTTAAGTTACTATCGTTGTTTAATCAGAACACCTTTAGTGCTTTTCTACATTGTATTCATTATATTATCATTTGACAATACTTATATTAATACAATAATTAAACTAAACAAATCGTATTTGAAAATATTATCTTTCGCTTTCTTGTCAGGGCTAAATTTAGGACCCGTTGACAAATTTTGGGCATCCATATGGTCTTCGAATGAGCCATAATAGAGTAATAAATATATATTTTCTATCTGTAAACAATTAAAAAGTAGAAATACTTATCTTATATGACTGTTACTCTCAAAATTTTGTGCAATATTTTGCTGACATGTGATAGAACCCCTAATATATCTTGAAATTAAACAATTACACGTATATATTTTTTGTTTGGTTCAACTAATTATTACTTTATTTTCTTATGTTATGAAATCAACATCCACCAAAGAACCCCAAAGCGAAACGCACTTACTACGAAAGCCCGCGCGCAACGTTTCAATTCCCGCGCTAAATGCCCGCGCCACAGATAAAATACTCCTCTTATTGTACAGAGTATCGCATTACTGATATATCGTAGTCGAGAGGCGTTAAGTTGGCCGTAGGGATGTGCCCAGCGCCGATAGCATCGCCCGATTTGAGGGAATCGCTTGATTGTATTTATGTTACGACCGTACGGAGCGTATCGTCTAATATCGTCGAATGGGACCCTACTGTCCGATCGAGAAATGTTTCAATTTGTCGATATAGTTAATCGATATACGTGGGCCCGTTAATTTACGCTTTGTGAGAGATAGTTAATAACAGTATAAAATATATAGATGAGTGAAGCTGATTGCGTCCCATTAAAGTAACAGTATAATATATGCCCCACTACGGGCCGAATACAGACTATATCAAATATCGATTGGCTTAAGTGTCCGTCATCGTATTCCCACACGGAATAAACATTTGTGTTGACCACCGTGTTTTCCTGATACACTACTTTACATCAGAATAAGATATGTCTTATTCTGATGTATAAGCTATATTTTAGCCTATGGGATATAATTTATATACATATTTTATGTGTCTGTCTTTCTGTCTTAATGGTACACCTTCAGCCTATTCTACGCAGACATTGTCGCGGGCAGCAGCTAGTTTAATATATATTAACAAGTTATTCTACATTAAAGCTATGCATACTTAAAAATAAGAAATATTAAGCCAAAATAATCACCCACTGGCTTTACTTCATGGACTGAACGTATTTTTCATTACATATTCAATTTATTTTTAATGGACAAAACCTTCACATATATTTTTATATATTTTTCTAAACATCTTGGAATTTTAACAGATAGCGGGTCAGAGGAATAGTCTCACAGTATTTTAATACGCAGCCGAACACGTCCCTAACTGTGGATCAAAACAGCTCCTACTTTCGTCTGCACTTAACATTTAGGTGGGTTTAGCACAACATGTTACAGCAACCGGCCGCCTGCCTAACGTCAACTCCTCTTAGGAATCATCGTCATCATCATTTCAGGCCGTTTGAGTCCACTGCATAACATAGGCCTCCCCCGTAGACTGCGACGAAGCACGATCCTGAGCCACCTGCATCCGTCGACTTCCCGCACATTTGCACAAGTCGTCGCCCCATCTAGTGGAGGGTCGTCCTACACTGCGAGCCAGTACGAGACTCCCACTCGAGAACCTTTCTTCCCCAACGGTTATCGGTTCCACGAGCTTTATGACCGGCCCATCGCCACTTCAGCTTGCTAATCCTCTGAGCTATGTCGTCTTCGTTATGAACTCTTCGGAATAAACACCCAGATCTATAACAATTATCCGCGGGTCACACAAATACTTAATCCATGTGAGTCGAACCCACGACCTCCGTCACCAAAGCCAATGGTTTATCAATTGCGCTATCGATTATAATAGCTTGATGAAATCATACCGAGTCTATTTTGATTATTGAGTGCTTCGGAAATTATGATTGGAACAATCATCGCCCAAAATTCTTCTTTATCACCACAATAACAAATCTCACCGATTAACGAGGCTAGACTTAATTGACATTTTATTTTACACAATAATGGAAACAAGAGATACGTTTTATTTCGAAAATAGGATCGTATGTGTTCATGTTGTAAGTGTTAAATGCTTCACATCATCTCAGGCTAATGATGAATATGTATCTGTCAATAAATTGAAACGATTTTATATCGTATCTAGTCCTGTGAAAGGCTAAAATCGATTGCTTCTAACCAACAGTGGTACAAAACAAACACTGACAGTTTAAAACGACAAAACAAAATGTTTATTGTATTAAACAAGGCGCGTACAGCTAGTGTGGAGTTATACATATTTTATAGCACTGACAACGGTCGTAAACCTTCTGCCAGTTTTTTTTTTTTTAATGTATAAAAGTTTTGAAAATTCCTGTATTAATACAAAGAATATGGCCTTCTTCATTTAATTAAAGTAATTCTTAAGCTAAACCGAAGAAGATATAAATTTAATAATTATATTTATGTTTTTAAAAAGGCCTCTGTCTGCCACGGGCATTAGGGCATAGACTACCACGCCGCCCCCCCGCGGATTGGCAGACTTCACATATCTTCGAAAAAAAAATATTCGACTATTATTTCGATTATATAGATACAGGTCTCCTCACGAAGTTTTCCTTCGCCTCTGAACACGTAGGCATTTAAAATGCAATTTCATCAGTGGCACCGAGATCGAACTCAGGTCGCTCGGCCGTATAGAAATAAGACCGAGCGGTAAAATGAAATGTATAAAATACAAATGTATACATTAAAATACACTCGAATGTTCTCAATTCGCTTCTTTTTTGAAGTTGGTAAAAATGAATATTCGCCAATAGGGGAACTTTTATTACGAAACGGTGATAGATTTGAAAATGACTATCGTAAACTCCGAAAATTTATTTCAACTAGCGACGGCTTCTTACCGAATTGGTCTACTTACGTTTCGGTATTGATCGATGTCTCGGGCTAAAATAATGGTTCGTCCATTCCCGCCGATCATTTCGATTCTCGCCGTCCGCGGCACCAGCGCCAGTGGGGGGCACGGTGGCGTGGTGAACTTCACAGCTCCCACCGTCGCCCTCTAATGGTGGAATCGACGCTTCCATATTTCATAACGTCCAAACGTCACTGCAAATGATCGTTAGTAACGGTGCTCACGGGGCGTACGCAACTCGACTGTTGCTGGCTGTACACGGCGTGCCTTTGTTTGGTTGTGTTTTTTTTTTTTCGTCTAACGTTGACATGTATGTTCACTTTTTATCGTTCCTTTTTCGATTTCGATATTTTTTTGGGACGATTAACTCGCGCGTCTTCGAGTATATTTAGACACTGTGTTTTATATTAGAATCACTTAAAGAGGCAATTATTTAAAGCTATTTTTGAACTGTGTTTATTTATCTTTTTATTGTTCCCTTTCGAACTCAAATTATTTTCGATAATCCGTGGCTGACGGTGACGGTATCTCCCCAGCTTCTAATCCCAAATGCTTATAGGATTCAGCGCCACCCAGCGCAGTATCGGGGTCTACTTCGCCATAAAATCTCATAGAATTCGACTTAACGTGTTAAAATGGTTATTATAATATAAATGTATTCATTAATCCTACTACCCTCTGTAAAAGAGTAGTCTTTTGCCCATCAGTGGGGTAAGTATAGGCTGTTACATTTCTTTACATTATTCATAATAATTCGAAAATCTCGCTCTGTATACATTTTATAATTGATTTTTAGGAATTCCCTAAGTATCTCCGGAGCCCAAGATACAATACAAATGAAATTAATATGGAAATAATTTTATATTATAGAATCATCAAAATCGGTTCTATCAGACGAAAGTTCTGAGGTAACCGTATTTAAAAAAATACAGTCGAATGTTCTCAATTCGCTTCTTTTTTGTAGTCGTTAAAAATTGAGTAGGCGAATACTTTCTTCTCTGTTAGAGGAACCTCATTACGAAACGGTAGTACATTTGAAGAATGACTATCGATAGATTTAATGTTCTTACTTCGATGAATAACTGATTTGATTTGGTTTTCTTTTCCGATAGATATATTAATAAATGATTTGATTTAACTAAATCCAATAGGCGTCTTTTTCCGCTAGATATGTTTACGAGTATGGCGCTAGTAAGTGTTGGGGTTCGAAAGTGAAATTGGATATTGGGCGATATGAACGGTCATTTGCCAGAGCCATGGACGTCTGATGAAGCCGTTCCAGCCCATCTTCAGCGTCCACTCGCCAGTTTAATAGGGCCGTAGCACGGAGTAGGGTTACGGCGTTGGCGTCTCGTATTTATCGCTGGCTGACCGTGCACACGACACGTCTCTCCGCCGTTTAGAGGTTTACTAAATGACCTACTGTTAATTTCTTATATTTACGTGACATCACTAAATGAAACTAATTACTATTAAATTAAATCTAGGACCAAACGACAACAAGACAGGTTAGAGAGGTATCAATTAGAATCTTCTACGTAGATCGGACACACAATTAAAATTAAAAACTGGCGGTGGCCGGGGCTAACAATTAAATTGTTAAATGAAATGTACTAACTTATCACGTGTTCAGTGAAATAAACATTTTTCGATCATATGTGAAGTCCGCCAATCCGCAGTGAGAAAATGCTCTAACACCCTCTGTATAGAACAGGCCTTTGCCCAGTGGGTGACATGTAAGACTACTTAGAAATTTGCAACTATTCAGCACCGCGGTCTTCCGTGAAGGCAAAGGGTTACGTAGATACAGCTTGTGCTGTCAACATTACGGCGACCTTATTTGGACCCGCGTTGCTTTTTAAATGACAGCCTCGTCGCCTAGTCTCAGGTACAGGTACAAACAGCGATTTTAGCGCTATATATATTCCAAAAGGCTAAAAACTTGTGCACGCGTAATAACAGTAACTCTCCGTCACTTTTTGTGCATTTATTTTTTCATATTTAAAATGGAACTATTTTAAAAAGATCCTCCAATAATAATGATTGTATTTGTATAACTTATTTGTATTTTGTCTGATGTTGTCATGTAACCTAATATTTCTCATTTAAAACTATAATACCATGGGCCACATAACTTAATTTTCTTCATAGATTTTACTCTTTGCCTTAGAAATGTTACAATTTGTTTTTTTTACTTTATTTGAAAATCAGTGAGCCTAACGATATTTGTTCATACTTTTCTATTTACCTTTATTTATTTATTTTTTTGTTTTAATTTTAAGCATGCTAAGTTTGCCTCTTAATGTAACAACTACTGGCAGACATAATAAATAAATAATGATAATGGCGTTCTTTAGAAGCCCTAAAAATGAGACTGAATTTTACACCAAACATATTTCTTTAATGAAAGTGTTGCCATCATTTAAATACCTACATTGTTTTACATGACAGCGCTTCGTTTTACGATGTTACACGGGACTGTACGTGCCTATATGTGCATGATCACAGTAATTTTACATAATCTGACAAGTTTTAATTGATATTTCTATGGAATTCGCCTGCAAAAACACATTTTGTTCTATAATTAATGAGGGTTCGAAATATATTTTCTTAACATTATTATTTTGAAACTACTCAGATTCCCACGATGTTTTCCTTCGCCGCCGAGCACGTAAATTTAACACTGATTGTACCTTGTATTAACTGATGTTTTTGCTTTCAGTCCCGAGACTATTAAAGCTTCATCTGACGCAGAACCGGTGGGCTAGCCAGAACCCACTGCTACACTGATTGTTGCCGCCACCAAGATTTGAACTCGGGTTGCTCGAGTATAATGAATTAAAAGCGGGCGTGGTAGGCTCTGATATCATGACCTCTGAAAAACATATTTAATATTTCGAAAATATGTTAAGCTCGCCGATACGCAGTAGCGTCGCGTGGTAGAACACAGGCCGAAACTTTACTTTTTACTTTTAATTCATTTTTCAATAGCTGTTGCTGCAATGACTACTATATACTATATACAAAGATATGACATCAGCGCACCTAAATTGAGGCACTCAAATTACGCCAATTCGTGTAATTAGATTGCATATCCATTGACTACCTCTTTCCATATCATACGTTCTAAATCATCTGTCACATTCATTTATTTATGTCATATTTTCGATTTTCAAACGCCACGCTGTATGAACATGCGTCATTTTATATTATTAAACCTCATGGCATTGCTGTACGTATTTGACGACCCGAATGGCGTTGTGGGTAGTGTACCTGCCTCCTGCGCCAGAGGGTGTGGGTTGAATCCCCACTACGGGAAAAATATTGTGTGATGAACATGGTGTCTTTCTAGTGTCTGGGTGTTTATATATGTATAATATGTATTTATTTATAAAAGAAAAATATGTTTAAGTTTATTGATCAGTTTTCTAGTACCCATAGTACAAGCTTTGCTTAGTTTGGGACTGGAAAAATGTTGTGTAAAAATGTGTCCTAAATATTTATTTATTTATTATTTGTTATGTGTACATCGTGAAATATTGCACTTCGTTCCACTTTAATGTACACTATTTCACGCTTTTAAATTATCTAGTCCTCACACTGGCGGCAGAGTCGTTAAGAATGGTCTGTTTAGTGTTAAACGTACACCGATTGAGACAAACACGCTGACAAATTTATGATCGGCTCCTAACGAGTCCCTAACACGCTCGCACCGCAGAACTAGGTAACTGGTTTCGGGAACGAAGTACCTTATCGGAAGGTTCGAATTTGCAGGTGGGGCTAGGTGGAAAAAAAAATTGTAAGAATTTTTCCACCACGAAGATACCATGGCAACCAATAACAACTTTATGGTAGCTTACTTACGAACGTGTTAATATTTATTGTAAAATTTTGACGTTTCATAGAACGCGCAAATGTCTATGTGAATAAAGATATTTTGAATGTTTTGAATTTATGACATTTACCTACAATTCCAAGTTGTTTAATAAAACCGTTATCAATTGCATTTAATGTATTTCTCGCAAAAAAAATCGAAATCGGGGATAAAGTTACTAGTTAATAGAAATTATCGATATCGTTTTATAATGTTTTTGATAAACGATAATACGTTTATCAAAAATATGATAAAACGAAATGAACCTTGTTCCAATATTGTGTTCCACAGCATTCCCTTTTATTTTTTGTGATATTCATTTAATGGTACTCGATTCTTCTAAAGATTTAGTTGTGTGACATTCATTTGTTTTGTTTTACTTATGCGTAACATAGCAAAAAAATAAAATATATTGATTAAGCGGACGCACAATCAGAGACTTCAATTAGCTTAATACCATTAAATTAATTTCTTTGTCCAATTGAAGTCTTATTAATAAGGCCGGACTTCGTAAGTGAAGTACTTAAATGCTCACTTAGCTCTGATTAGCGTCTCTGAGTGTCTCTCCTGTGGCTTCTGAATCGGCAAGAGATCGATTTGTATTACATCTTTTATTTACTTTATATATGGAATTATGTTATTTGGATTGTTTATAGTGCTAATCTTTGCACTTGAGATTGAACATTAAAATATGTAGAAAAAGTACGAAAATAATAAGTAATGCTAAGAAACAATGTAGAAAAAGACGTTAAGATTTTCGTCGGTGTGGCAATCAGCCGTTTAGCTCAGTGGCTAGAGCGTCAGGCCGCGAATGCCGAAGACGTGGGTTCGATTCCCACAGCGGCGACAATCTTTTCGTACTTTTTCTACATATTTTAATGGAATTATGTTTTTCAGCGATGCGATAAACAAAACGTCCCTTAAAATTAAAATAAACAGTAACACTGTAATGACAATAGTCTAATACGTATTATTTCTTTGTACAAATGTTACTTAAAATAATCATCCCATTGGATCACAATTGTGAAACTCGCTCTATGCCACCAGATTTCCGCTTTTCGGATCTCTCACGTATTCTATTACGAGTATATCAATGAAATATTAATAGCAAAAAAAAACATAAATAAACACTTATTTTTACTAAGTATAATAAAACTGAAGAGTTTGTTTGTTTGAACGCGCTAATCTCTGTAACTACCAGTCGGATTTGAAAAAATCTTCTTGCATTTGATAGTCCAATTCTTAAACTGCTTGCGCAAATTGCCACCAATTAACTAAGTTAGGGCTGCCCAGAGAGG